TTTAAATACTGTATAAATTGAATAAATGTTTTAAATACTGTATAAGTTAGTCAAAATTATCTGTCGTTTCTTGAGCAATTTTTAGTTTAGGTCAGAAAATGCTGGATCTGGTTAATGTAAACCGTGTAAGTTTAGCTACTTAAAATACCTTTGCACACATGTTATGTATCTAATGGTTTAATATACATATATATGTATTATTCTTGTATATTTTCCAGTAATATGTTGCTATTCTACTAGAGTTGGGTTTCTTAACCTGGGGTCCAGAGAATCCCAGGACAGAAGGAGAATCAATGAACTTGAATGGGAAAAAATTATCATCTTTATTTTTACCAATCTCTAAGTGAAAGTTTGCATGGCCTTCCATTTTGAATAAGGATAGCAAAATAGTCCAGACAGTACCTACAGTCTTTGTCACCAGTAGAACAATAGATATTTTCATATCATAATTGTTGCAGGTATCTTAAACTGTTATTTATGCTTTCAAATTATTATTAGTCCTGCTGCTAAATCTTATTAATGTGTTAATAAATTATAGGAAATACGAGGTTTTTAAAAGGACATTTTGACAATTACATGGCATTGTACCTTAAAATACTTATATTTTGTTTTGTACATTTATAATCATGATTCTGAGAAGTCCGCTCAAGAGGCTCATGCACATGTGCACACATCCATACCTATACACACCCACATCCCCACAACACAAGGGTCTAGTAAAAACCCTGTATTAGACTATCCCAGAAAGTTCTTTGTAATAATTTTTTCACAGGTGCTTCGAGGAAAATTAGATATGTGTTACATTACTAGTAGTTCTTAAACTGTTTTCAGCTGAAGTTGACCAGTTAAAATTGTCTGTATACTTCATTCATGTATTTTTATGTTTAAAAATTGCCAAAGATTTTTGACGTCAGATGCCTGAGATAAAACAAAGACAATGTATATGATTAATTTTAATTCATGAAAATAGTTCTTGTGAAAAATAATTTTGAAAGAATTAAAAATGAATGCCTCCTAAGTCTTAGACTGAGTATGCATTATTATATTTCAAGGATACTCAAATGTATAAGTCCTTAAGAAAATAACTAGTTTCTAATAAATGAAAGGTGAAATAAAAATGTATTTGCATTTCAAATTCTTATTTGAATAGATTAAGTATCATTTTGAAAACAAGCTATCAACTTTCATTTCAGAAGAAACTTTTACTTTGCAACATCTTCAGCTTATGTTAAATTAGTTTTCGTTCTCTCTGAATTCAATGTCCTTTATGAAAGGATAAGAAATTTTAGGAATGTTAATAAGCACAGGAAAGTAAGTTTAAAACTTTAGGTTTTTTAAAATGATCTATTATGTGGGTAGCCTCCACACAGATAATTAAGATTGTATTTAAAAGCTGTACATTATTAAAAACAGAGCTAATATTCACCTCTAACCTTGTTCCTTTTTCCACCTCAACATTTTTTTTTAAGAGTTCTTACTAGGACATTTGAGTCAAAATACAATACATTATTAACTCATGATTGAGTGTGGTGGCTCATGCCTGAAATCCCAGCACTTTGGGAGGCTGAGGTGGGCAGATCACAAGGTCAGGAGTTCGAGACCAGCCTGGCCAACATAGTGAAACCCCATCTCGACTAAAAATACAAAAATTAGTCGAGTGTGGTGGCACACGCCTGTAGTCCCAGCTACTTGGGAGGCCGAGGCAAGAGAATCGCTGGAACCCAGGAGGCGGAGGATGCAGTGAGCCGAGACCATGCCATTGCACTCCAGCCTGGGTGACAGAGTGAGACTCCATCTCAAAAAAAATCGATCAATAAAAAATGTAGTTCACTAATTAAAAAAAACTCTACACGTGAATAGGATGTTGAAAATTGTTTATTGATATGATACATAATTATTTTTTAAAAGCCTCAGAAATGGACTAGTATCATTTTCATTAAAGTATACATGTCATGCTGACTAATTGATGTAGAAGTTTTACAATTCTAAATCTGACATCTATTAACCCTTTAGATAGGGAAAATAATCCTTGTAATAATAATGCCAGGCCTCCGTGGTAACACATACCTGTAGCGTCAGCACTTTGGAAGGCTGAGGTAGGAGGATTTTTTGAGCCCAGGAATTTGAGACCAGCCTAGGCCATACTGTGAGATCCTGTCTCTACTAAAAATGAAATTTTAAAAAATTAGGTGTGGTGGCAAACGCCTATAGTCCCAGCTATTTGGGAGGCTGAGGTGGGAGGATTGCTTGAGCCCAGGAGTTGGAGGCTGCAGTGAACTGTAATTATGTAATTATGCTCTAGCCTGTGCAACAGAGCAAGACCTTGTCTCAAAATAAATAAATGAATTAAGTAAAACTAGTTATTACAAAATAAAACCATTACAGGATTGTACACTTGGAATTCTGACATACACAGCCTTCCCTGCATCTAATCAAAATGGATCAGAAATCCTCTTGGAACAAGAAGATGGCAGAGACTGAAGGGAAATGCCAACTTAGAATGACTGGCATAGAAGGAATTATTGAAACTCAGGGAAGACAGTTGTGTTCTTCTTTGGCAGGTCCGCTTTCTAAATAGATAGGGAATTTCAGAGAACAACTTCATTCTGTGCTTTGCAAAAAACAGAAGATTGTGGGGAGGGGTCTGGTGGAGAGGGCATGACTTAGACAGACCTTGAGGCTGCTGCTTCAATCCAGCATGTCAAAGCACCATGTTTGGGGGCGTTAGTTACTGAACCTCAAAAATGCTACATTGCAAATTCGCTTAGTATATTGAATACCTATGAATGAGTACCCTACTGTTAACGCTGTGAGACTTAACATCCATTCTCCCTCAAGAACTGGCCCATTCTATTCCTGATACTTGGCCATGAAAGTTTTGAACTGTGGGTGTATTAGCTCGTTCTCACGCTGCTAATAAAAACATAACCCAAGACTGTGTAATTTATAAAGGAAAGAGATTTAATTGACTCACAGTTCAGCATGACTGGGGAGACCCCAGGAAACTTAAAATCATGACAGAAGGGGAAGCACAAACATCCTTCTTCACATGGCAGCAGCAAGAAGTGCCAAGTAAAAGGGGAAAGGCCCCTTATAAAACCATCAGATCTTGTGAGAACTCACTATCACAAGAACAGCAGCATGGGGGTAACCACCTCCATGATTCAGTTACCTCCCACCAGGTCCCTCCCACTACATGTTGGGATTATGGGACCTACAATTCAAGGTGAGATTTGGGTGAGGACACAGCCAAACCGTATCAGTGGGTATAGTCACAATAAGAATTTTTTTTTTTTTTTTTTTTTTTTTTGAGATAAGTCTCACTTTGTCGCCCAGGCTGGAATGCAATGGCACAATCTTGACTGCCCACAACCTCCATCACCTGGGTTCAAATGATTCTCTTGCCTCAGCCTCTTGAGTAACTGGGATTACAGGTGTGTGCCACCACACCTGGCTAGTTTTTGTAGTTTTGGTAGAGATGGGGTTTCACCATTTTGGCCAGGCTGGTCTTGAACTCCTGACCTCAGGTTATCTGCCCGCCTCTGGCATGTTATCTCCCAAAGTGCTGGGATTGCAGGCATGAGCCACTGTCCCCCACCACAGCAAGAATTCTTACATGTCTCTGGGAAGAATATAAATGGGCATGGTGACTTCTGAGAATAGTAAGGTAATCAATGCCTGTAAAGCTGAAGCATCCTTTAATCTACCAGTTTCCCTTATTTGTGTCTATCCTGAAGGGACGTGTGTGTGTGTGTGTGTGTGTGTGTTTACAAGACGTGCAAGGATATTTGTTTCAATACTGCTCATGACAAACAAATATAAAAACTATCTTTCGGTAGGGGAATATATAAACTGGTTTTATTTGTATAATGGAACATTGTATAGCAGTAAAGATACTCAAACTAGGGATCTGTTATGAACACATAGCTCAAAACATAATATATGGAAATGCAGGTTTCAAGATAAATAGCATGTAATTCCATCTGTTAAATGTATTAAATGCAAACAGTAATGTATATTGTTCGAGAATATGAATATATATTTAAGAGTACAAAACATACATGGTAAATATGCACATCAATATTATGATAATGGTTATCCAGAGGTGTGGTTTGAGCTATGTCTATACTGTATTAATTTTTTTTTTTTTTTTTTTTGAGGCAAAGTCTTGTTCTATTGCCCAGACTAGAGTGCAGTGGTGTGATCTCGGCTCACTGCAACCTCCGCCTCCTGGGTTCAAGCAATTCTTCTGCCTCAGCCTCCTGAGTTGCTGGGACTACAGGCGCGTGCCACCATGCCTGGCTAATTTTTTGTATTTTTAGTAGAGACGGGGTTTTACCGTGTTAGCCAGGATGGTTTTATCTTCTGACCTCATGATCCGCCCGCCTTCGCCTCCCAAACTGCTGAGATTACAGGTGTGAGCCACCGTGCCCGGCCCAATACTGTATTAATTTTTGAGAGAGAAAGAAGAGAAGAAGGTTCAATCTGACGCAAACATGGGAAAACATTCTAACTAGTGGGTACATGGACCATATTGTTGGCTGTATAGATGTCTTTTTCATTCTTTTAACTGTGTTTTAAAATACTATACCTTGAAAATAAAGTATTTACATGTTACTTTATATAGTTCAAGTGATCCTCCCACCTCATCCTCCTGAGTAGCTGGGAATACAGGCATGTATCACCATGCTAATTTTTTATTTTTTGTAGAGACAGGCTTCACTATTGCCCACGCTAGTCTTGAGCTAGTGGACTAAAGCAGTCCTCCCACCTCAGCCTCCCAAAGTGCTGAGATTACAGACGTGAGTCACTATATCCTGCCCAGAATTTGACTCAGACTGACTGAAATGATAGCAAGTTTTTACAAATTATTGGATTGTATCCTCTTATTTCTAATTTGTTCTATTTTTAAACTGCAATATAATTACCATGAATAGTCTAGAATTTTGATTGTCAATAAATGAGGAGTTTTATATAAAGTTAATTTCTTTGTTTTATAGGAAAAACATCAGAGAGAGGCTCATTTTCCCTGTACAGCAGAGATACTGGATTACCAGGCTGTCAAGTAAGTTTAATAATTAAAAAAAGCAATGAGATGGTTTTTAAACACATAAAGACTCTATTAATAGATGAGATAGAAATTATCGAATTTATTTCACTACTGTTTGTTTAATTTGTAACTAAATGTTGTTTTTTTGCTCTCTCTGCTTAAAATTGTTTCAGTTCCCCAGTTTACCAGGCTGTCTTTATCATCAAAGATTTTCATAACCCACCTCCATTTTAACTAGAAACAAAGTAGCAGTTATCTTTCTACCCCTTTCCAAAATGCCTGTCATTTCTGAGAATTTTTCCTGCATATTTTCTCACAGAAAACATAATTGCTGGTACATAAAAATTACATGATTGATCTGCATAGCTTGAATATCCTGTAATGTCAAACTGATCATTAATATTGGAAGCATTTTGTTTTCAATCCTGCATCTACCAATTTTTAGGCTTCACACCCTCCCCGACTTGGAATTTTTGTTTCAGCTGTCCACCTTCTCTAGCATTTTGTGCTTCTGCTAATGGGCATCTTCTCTGCCTTTTTCCTCATATCTTTTGACTGAGAATCCTGAACACACAATTCACCTGCAGATTCCCATCAGAATCAAGCCAAAAAGAATAGAAAGGAAAGGCAGAACATATTAAATTTGTTTTCTGCCATCTGCATGCTTTACATGAGGGCCTACCCTAATTTCAGGCATGGGCATGTGAGCCGGTTTTAACTGCTGTGCTAATAATACTCCATTTAATATATATTTCATAATTGTGCCTCTAAGAGAGTTTTACATAACATCCTGTTTTGTGATATGCCTTCCCATTATAAAATAATGTATTGTAGTAGGTTGGCCACGGTGGCTCACGTCTGTAATCCCAGTACTTTTGGGAGACTAGGGTGGGAGAATCCCTAGAGCTCAGGAGTTGGAGACCAACCTGGGCAACATAGTGAGACCTTGTCTCTACTTAAAATGTAAAAATCAGCCAGGTGTAGTGGTGCATGCCTGTAGTCACAGCTGCTTGGGAAGCTGAGGCAGGAGGATCACTTGAGCCCAGGAGTTGAAGGCTGCAGTGACCCATGATTGTGCCACTGTAGTCCATCCAGAGTGACAGTGAGACTGTGTCTGAAAGAGAGAGAGAGAGAAAAAGGGAGGGAGGGAGGGAGGGAGGGAGGGAAGGAAGGAAGGAAGAGAAAGAAGGGAGAAGGAAAGGAAGGAGGAAGAGAGAGAGAAAATCAATATATTGTAAAAATTAAGGATCATCTATTCCCATATCCTTAATGGCAAATAGGCATGGTCTGAGTAAGTGATTTGTTAAGTATCGTAGAGTTGGGGGTAGTAACTGGACCAACACTCAGATTTCTTGGCTTCAGACCAAGCAGTCTTATTCTATTTTCATCCAAGTGATTTTTTAAAGTTTTAGTGTTACTAATGATTGCTTTATTTTCCATTTATGGTTAGCTTTATTTTATCCTAGTCATTTAAAATATATATAGATTAGCATTGTGTCATAGCCAGTGTTTTGCTTTACCAGCTTTTACTAGCTCACAAGAGCCAAATCTGTTAAACTTTTAGGAATTTAGCAAGCATGGTTGACATCACACTGGTATCTTAAAATTGACTATTATGAGCTGGGCACTGTGGTGCATACCTGTAGTCCCAGCTACTTGGAAAGCCAAAGCAGAAGGATCACTTAAGCCCAGTAGTACAGTTCCAGCCTGGGCAATGTAGCAAGACTGCATCTCTAAAAATAAAGATAAAAACAAAAAAATGGCCATCAAGGAAGTGTTTACACTGTGGAAATCCAAAAATGTTACAATTCAGGGCTTCCATTTTCTTAAACAGTTGTTAAACATTTACCAGCATACCGATCATGCCTAGTTAAAAATTGCAGAGAACCAAAGAATGTAAGTGCTTATTCAGATCACAGTAAAAAATAGAAAAGCAGCAGTTGAACATCTAGCCTCCATTAAGGTACCTTTCTGACCTCTTTCAAAGGTAACAGTACTTTAAGGCCAACCAAGATATACGATTTATTCTGTATAGTTTTAGCAATATCCATTGATGAAAACCAAAATACCTCTTTTTTGGTCTATATCAGATGTGGATTGGTGATTGTAATATTTCTGCAATTCATAGTTGATATCAGAGCTCATTCTTTTTTAAGAAGTTACTGTTTGAATTTCATAGTCTGAATTTTAGTTCATAAATGACCTAAACTGGAGGCTGTGGATCTAATTTCTGATCTTGGCTGTAGTACTCATTGTGCGAGTTTTGTAGGCCACCTAACCATCACTCCTCTGAATCTCTTCAGAGTACACCAAATTTTAAAAATTAAGTTGCGGCCGGGCGCAGTGGCTCACACCTGTAATCCCAGCACTTTGGGAGGCCAAGGCGGGCGGATCACCTAAGGTTGGGAGTTCGAGACCAGCTTGGCCAGCATGGCGAAACCCCGTCTCTACTAAGCATACAAAAATTAGCGGGGCATGGTGCAGGCTCCTGTAATCCCAGCTACTTGGGAAGCTGAGGCAGGAGAATTGCTGGAACCCAGGAGGTGGAGTTTGCAGTGAGCTGAGATTGCACCATTGCACTCCAGCCTGGGCAACAGAGGAAGATTCCGTCTCAAAAATAAATAAATAAATAAATGACCAAACTAAGTTATATCATTTGGACAATGAATGATTGATAAAAGTAACTACAAAGAATCATGTAGGTTTAAGCTTGTAAGCTCTGCAGACTGCATCTGTGACATATCATTAAGTTAACTTGTCTGCCACCCTGCTTCAGGGCCTTAAAAGTCTTTTCATCTTCATCTTAAATATAAGACAGCAGCTTAGTTAGGCAGTGTTGAATCTTATATGTATTATCATAGTATAAGAATACCTTATAACCATAACAAATTTGTTTACTTATCAGATATATGAAAGTGCTCTTCTCAGTTCCTGATCATACAATAGAAGGTCAGTAAATGTCAGTTGAGGGGGGTAAGACAAAACGTTTAGAGTCAAGAGACCTAAGTTCAAGTCCCATCTCCGCACTGATTTCTATCTGAAAGATAGGATTAGCTGTTTCTGCTTCCACCTACTTAGTAGATCTCTGAAGGCTAAACTGTATAGGCTTATGAAAACATTTCAAAAAATAAACACATAATTCTAAAGTTCTCAATTCATGTAACCCACATAACAAAAGATATTTTGGATCTTTAATATTATTTTTAAGATACCTAACTGTTTGCGAGCCACTGGTCTAATGTTAATGTTACTGCTAAACTTGAGGGGGGAAGAAAACACTATTGTAAGCTTTTTGAGACCACAGCTACATCTAAAATCATAGTCCATGCTTATATTAATGTTTTTATTATGTTCAAATGTTTTCACTTAACATTTTTATACCCTCTTGGCAAAGGTATTGCTGTTTAGTTAGAGTCAGCAATAAGTTCTATTAATGTAATTGTCCATTTTTGCAAAGGGGAATCTTAACAGTTTTTACCAAGGATTAATGTGCATTTGTACCAGATTTAATTCTTATATCAAAAGACATTTATTTTAAATCTAAATGTGTGGCACTGTAATAACATTTGCTACCATTTGCTGAGCACTAACTGAACTAGCCATTGAACTAAACATAATCACATTTAATTCTTTTAACAACAACTCATTTTGCAGAGTAGTAAACAGAGGTTCTTGTAAGGTATTATGCTTAAGGTTACATATCTAGCAAGTGGGAAACCTAAACTCATGCTTGAGTGTTTTGGCTATATGACTATACTTCAGCATAGGAATCCCTCAGATTTCAACTCTGTGCCCTTATTACCTTCCTTCATTTTAATTTGAGAAGGAGATAGGGAATTTTTTTTTTTTTTTTTTTTTGAGACAGGGTTTCACTCTGTCACCCAGGCTGGAGTACAGTGGCGCTCACAAGACCTCCTGGGCTCAAGGGATATAAGGTTTAGTCAAGAGACCTAGGTTCAAGTCTCATCTCTGCATTGATTTCGTCATCTGAAAGATAAGATAAGCAGTTTCTGCTTCCACCTACGTAGTAGGTCTCTGAAAGTTAAAGTGTATGGGCTTGTGAAAACATTTCAAAAAATAAATACATAATATTAAATTTCTAAATTCATGTGGCCCACATAACAAAAGGTAATTTGGGTCTTCATATACCTCCGTGAGTAGCTGGGACTACAGGCATGCACCCGCCATGCCCTGCTAATTTTTCTGTATTTTCTTTCTTAGAGATGGGGTCTCACTATGTTGCCCACGCTGGTCTCAAATTCCTAGGCTCAAGTAATTTTCCTGCCTCATCCTGACAAAGAGCTGCGATTACGGACAAGAGCCACCACTCCCAGAGGGAATTTAAATTTTTAACGAATGTCCAGGTGATTTTGATTCACGTGGACTAGAGTTCGTGCTTTGAGAAAACCAACTCCTCTGTACATGCCAACTCCTCTGTATAAGCCAATAGGAGTTATCCTTAGAGGAAACTATATGATTGCTGTTTGACAAACAGTTTATAAATATTCTGGAGAGATCAGGAAGGCCTATGGAAAAGAGAAGAACAAGGCTACTAGAATGTTTGATACAAAATAACAATATTGCTATATACAAGATTTAAAGATACTCAAATAACAGAAAGATACCTTTTTTTTTTAAAGAATTCGTAGAAGCAATTTGTGAGCCCCAGAGAGGAAGCCTAAAATTCAGCAGAGTGGAAAGATTATTCTGCAGCAAGGACAAACTATTCAAAGAAAAACACGTATTCCAAACAGTATTTATTATAATGAGTCAGAGGAGGGACAAAAAATACACTTTAACGCTGCCATTTTGTCTTACCTATTCACAAGCGACAAAAGCAAATCCAAGGAAATATAAATAGTGACTCTAAAATGATACCCAAACACCACGTTGAAACCATTTTTCTTCAACAGAATCCCCCAAGGGGCATTAACTCTGCTATTAATGTACATAAAATGCTGCTGACATACTGCAAAATTCAGACTAATTTAATAATGCCTGATGGGCCTTACTTC